TCATAAAAGTTTTTCTTTTTATACCTAAGATTTGAAAATTTTATACAAGGCTCCTAAAATATTTATACAATATTATTTGAAAAATAAAAGAAATATAATATAGTCACACATTTTTTTAATAAGCATTTACAGTTCAAATTTTGACTAAATAGTAAATACAAAAAAATCACGAAAATTCGTAAATTATTTTATCCTAGAAATTCATAAAAAAATTTCCTTTTAAATCAAAGATTTAAACATTTTTAATAATCTATAATGTTATATCCTAGACAGATGAACCGTTTCCGCTCAGAATCGTTTTTCGTATATAATGATATAATATCATGGAATTCAAATTTAATTCCATCCGTTACAGTAGTTAATCCACTTGTAACGTACCTATACTGTACAGCTGAGTGACATCCACGACTTACCTGCTCTTTATAAATTATTGTGTAATATTTTGGATTTATAGACCACTGAAATTTTCGATTTTTATGAGAATTTTTTTTTGAAGTATCGGTAAAATTTTAGATGACCAAAAAAACTTGAAAATTTAACACAAGGTTTCTTATGAGTTGTTCTTATTGTAGCTAAAAAAAATTAAAAATCGTTAGTCACAATTTTTTTTATTAGCGTTTACAGTTCAAAATTTTACGAAATCTGTCGAAAACGCGAAAATTTGCAAGTAATTTTGAAGTTGATAAATCATAAAATTTTTTGTGTTTATAACTAAGGATTAAAAATACAACACTAAGTTTTCCTTCAAGTAGCTATAGAGAAAACTCGAAGCATCATTATAGGAAAAATGTTATGTGCGTTTGAATTTTAAACTTTTACAAAATAGCGTAACGATAACGATTTATCCTCAAACAATTTTAAATATTTGTTATTATTCAAAAAGTATAAGTCGTAGATACTTGAAAATTTTACCAGTTATTTAGATCGGTATTTTCTTTACATGATTTAATTTTCAAAATTTTTTGAGATATTTATAGACAACGGAAATTTTCAATTTTTCTGAAAATTATTTTTTGAAGTGTCGATAAAATTTTTTTGGCCCTATCAAAATACTTGAAAGTTTAATACATAAATAAWAAATAAAGTTCCTCGTAAGTTATTTTTATAGTGATAACAAAATTATAAGAATACATAGGCACAATTTTATTTTATTATCATTTGTAGTTCAAATTTTTACGAAATCTGGCAAAAACGCGAAAATTATATGAAATCAGGTATATGTATATGTATGATAATATAAGGTATTATGAATTATGATAACTACATGCAATGATTTTAGAAGAATTGATTAACCATGCTTTATTCAAAATGCGTCCTAGTTGAAAAATAATATATTTGTTTCAAAGTAGAATATATGACAACATTTTAATATAATATATTATATATCCTAGACTGACAAATCATCTCCGTTCAGAATCGTTTTTCGTATATAATGATACCTATCATTGCATTCAAATCTAACCTACCCTAGTCAGAGGTCTACCCCACCACCTAATATACAGCAGAGTGACATCCACTTACCCGCTTTTTTTTTTTAATTTAAAATTCTTAGTAAGAAATTTAAATGTGCTCAATTACAATTATGTTTTATTATTTATGTGTAGATATGAATGATTCAAAGTCAAAAAACAATGGTACAGTTACAGCTCAAAATAGTGATAAAAACACATTGATATCTTCAACTACTAAATCATTTCATAATAAAGTAAGATTATTATTTTTATTATCTTTTAATTATTGCTTGCATAGTGCTGTATTTATAGTTAATTATAGAGTTTAAAATATGTTAATAGTTCTTTAAGTTGTTAGAATTTAGTAGGTTCTTTAATGTATGATTAATAAGTATACATATATAATGAATTCAATTGTGAAATCATATTTCAATTATCTAAGTTAAATTTCTATACAGAAGGTACAAAATGAAACTAGATGATCAAGAGAGAATATTAATCCATAGTTGCGTGTTACCTTATTTCTGCAGTTAAAATTTTTTCTGTTTGGTTCATAGACAATGTCTGTGTGAACCAGTATAATTGTGGTTCCCTTAGTTTTCTCACTGATTTTCTGTTATAACTTTGTGGGGTTATTCTATATTTTGGATTTGAATTATCTCTGAACACGAGTAATTCAGGGTTTTGGTAACCCCCCAAACAGCTTAATCCTTGAAAACTTTTGCACCCACTCATCGTAGAGTGACAGAACCAACACTAAATTTTGAGTTTGACTGATCTTGTGTAGATGATGAAGTTTCACTTCAAGCACGCGTACTCACGACACATACTAAGTTTTTTAAACTGGATTTATTTAATTTAAAATCATGTCATGTTTTTGTTTTGTATTTCACTAATTTAAAAAGTTTAAAAATTACTTAAAAATTCAACTTGTATATATTTTTTAATGCATGAATCACATGGTTACTGGTTCCACAAGGTATTATTGAAACAAAGAAATTCTGTTATATTGTAGTTTTAGTTAAATTATATTGTGAGATTTTAAAAATAATAACCACTACCCACAGTCATCGACTGTTCAACTATATTGTTATTTACCATATTTTACTTCCACTGAAAATGTTTTTAAATATATTTATTTATAAAATTTAAAAAAAAATTGCTATTATTTATATATTTTGTATCCATTTTATAGATTGTGCTCAAAATAGGACAAAAATCAAATTGTGATATAAAAAGTAAGTACCTAGTAATTGATTTACAGTTTTCTAGAATTGTCTTTAAATTTACATGTCTTGAACTCATTATTATTATTATTATTATTATTATTTTTATATAAATTTATTTAATATGTTCATTGTTCATGATAGATTAATAATGATTGATGATTGTTTCTATTATATTGTTATTATTTTATTTTATTTTTATAAATAAACGCCAAACTGCTTTYTATGTTGGAATAAACAAAAATAATAAAGCAAAATTAGTTATAACAGCAGTAATACATGGGTTAGATAATAAGAGAGACAGAAAAAACATGTTTTATTAAGGCCAAAGATCAATATTATTACTGTTTGACGAGTGCATGGCTCTCACTAAAAGATTGTTTATCAGAAAGTTGGACCTGGAAGTGGGGAAGAGGAATGGCTCTTGTGATCTGGTCACTCGGTACACGTAGACTAATGCGCTCTAAGAGTTGAGGTACGTTCACCCTCCCGTGAAGCAAGCTGAACAAAAATAGTTGGTTAGCTCTTTCTCGTCTACTTTCAAGTAAACAGAGTTTTAATGTATTCATGACTAGTGTGTAATCGCACTGGAGGTGATAAGTTTAAGTAGAAATCCAACAAGGTCAAGAAAGCTAGATTGAACTCTTTTGATAAATTTGATCTCAACTTAAAGGAATTTATTCCAAACTATTAATCCATTATATGTTAATATGCTTTAAAATCAGTTTTATTAATAATATACAATTGGATTATTGTTGAATTTCATCTTAAATTAATATAATATCAACTTTTTATTTATTAGTTACTCCAGATTCTTCCAAAACTCAAAAGGATGATTATAAAAAAGCCATTGTCGCTATTATAGAAAGATCTGATCAACCAATTACTGTAAAAAAGGTGTTAAAAATTTTTGAAAATAAATACGGTTTTACCTTTCCATTTCAAACTCTTTCATGTGGAACATGCATGGACTTTTTTCGCCTGCATCCAGATTTGTTTAAAGTAACTAATTATCAATTTTAGAATATTAATACTATTAAAAATAATAAAAATAACTTTCTTTTTAGTTGGAAGATCAATGCTCTACAAACAGTATTGTAAGTTTAGAAAAACAAATAATATCCAAACCTAAAGTAACTATTAGAAGAATCTTTAAAAAAGCATGTAAGTGGAATTTTGTACCTACTTTTTTCTCGTTTATTAGGATAATGGTCTTTGACAATTAAAATATTGGTTGTTAGTTGAACTTAAATTGCATTAMATTAAATTTCTATGCTTTCCTCATAGGTGTGCGCAGGGGGTATGCAGGGTATGCAACTGCATACCTTTAAGCTCTTTGAGGGGCAAAAATCAACTCTGGAAAATTGAAACATCCAGTTATCAGTTATCAACTGCCATGTATTTGCAAAATACATTCTTTTTGTATTTTGTCATGGTATTACAACATTTTTTTAGCTAAGCAGTAGATATTTCAATATTTGTGTATTGTGTATATATAATATATATATTATTAGAATTTTACAAGCTTAAAATAATTTTGAAAAAGAGACCTGTGCACGCCTATGGCTTTCAATATTATAAAATATAATAATAAACCAATGAAATATTTTTTATAACATAATTTATTTATTTTTATTAGGTTCTTTTTATTCCAGCAGTTTTATTATATCCTTAAACCAATATTCATATAATTATTTTTTAAATTAATTAAAAATACTTAAATATTTAAATTTAATTTATTATTTACATTTTAAGCTATATTTGAAAATGATGCTGTTACCAATTCAAAATACAATATAAATCAGAGTAAGATTATATCTGAACTTTTATCAAACAAAAATGATGATCAGAAATCTAAAGATATTACAATAGATAATTCATGCCAACTAGAGTAAGTATAACATTCTTTATTATCTTTTAAGAGAACGCTACCCATGTATTTGTTGTCTCTGTCCAATGGCGCCAAACTATATTTTAAAAGGGGGGGCAAGTAAAAACTTAAACGGACCACCGCCCCTGTTTACAAAATAAAAACCATATATCTTAATAGCTTAGGAGTTAGGAACATAATTCATAGTTTGTTGGGGTACCCACGGACCCCTACGACTCCACCCACTGTAAAAAAGGGGAGGCAGTCGCCCCTCTTGGGTTTTAGGTTCGGCGCCACTGTCTCTGTCTTAACATTATGACATAGAAAATGCCCATCTAGCCTGCTGTTAGTTATGATATTAGAGTGAACTTATTTATTATCAAACTTTTGCTTAAGCATCGGATTTATTCAATATTTTCATTTTCAAGCAAGTTAAGAGCTTTTTTAATTTGTAATATTTTACATACTCGTATTTAGCTTGAAAATAAAAATATCAAAGCATTTCCAACGCTTTATACAGGTAATGTTCTTACCTAAAAGTTTAAAAATAGGTCAATTCACTAATATAAAAACTAACTATTGAAACTAATAGCAAAAATTGACCATTAAGCTCCTCTTAAGATTTAGTAAAACTTTCATTTGAAACAAGGATCATCAACCCGCCTTATATTTTTATTATACAAAGACTTGCAAAATTTTTTTAAGTAATAGGTTCCAAAAGTTGAAAATTTGATGACCCCTAATTTATTTTGGAAAAAACTTTATTAATTTTTCAAAATTTTATTAACTTAGTTGAATATCTAAAAAAAAATGAATTAAATTTGTTATTAAAATATATATTTATTATATCATGACTTTAGAGCTATGTTAATTTACTTTGTTTAAGATTTTTTTAAATTCTACTATTATTTTTAATTTTAATTAAAAGTCTACTGTAACTTACTAAAGCTTAATAAATTCACAAATCTTTATTTACTTACTGTATTGCGTATGAAATTATTACTTATATTGCTATATCCTTGAAATAATATGTGTTCATATGAGAAAATTTATCATAACTATATATCTATCTTCTAAAATATGTTTTCAATTAATTTATTCTATTCTGATTTTATTTTTATATTTTAGATGTGAAAAGTCAGTAAATTCGTATGAAATATATGATGCTGATACAGTATTGGATACAATGAAAGTAAAAATGCGCCAAATTTTAAGTAAACATAAAGATGGTATATTATGTAGCKATTTTATGAATGTTTATGGTGTAAGTATTCGATGAAATGATTTTTTTATTCACTCACATAACATTTACAACTCTATTAACAATAGCACCAAATTAAATTATCCTAATATTAGATAAAAAAATTAAATAATTTTTACTAGTATGAATTAACATTTTGAGTTTTAAACGAGATGTCACATTATGAGGTCACCACACCTACATATTATGTTATCTCTATCTTACAAATGTGCAATATAGCAAAAACTGTTTTTTACGGAAAAGAACCCAAAAAGCTACAGTCATAACTAAGAAACAAAATGTTTACATAAAAAACCTGATAGATCATAACCAGTGGTGTAGTGGAGGGTACACGGCGTGTACCCACCTCCTAATTTTATAATTATGCRTGTACCTTTAACGAAAATCGTAGTACGCGGGTACACGGAACATAAATAAGATGAATTAACGTTACCCATCAAATAATATATATATTTATTAAATTTTGATATTTAATAAGTAAAAAAAGATAAGCGTAATTTGTTTATTTCACGGACTAAGAAAAGATCATAAAAGTCCATGGTT